TTACTTACTTACTTACTTACTTACTTACTTACTTACTTACTTACTTACTTACTTACTTAATTTTGAGACAGGTTCTGTCCATAGCTCTGGTCATCCTGGAACTCACTATGTACAACAGACTGGCTTTGAACTCACAGATCCACCTGCCTCTCTCTCCTCAGTGCTGAGATTAAAGTTGTGTGCCACAATGCCCAAGCCCTTTTCTTCTTTAAAAACAAAAAACAAAACAAACAAACAAACCCACCCTGAGTCCGGTGCCTCCCATATGCTCAGTGAGGACACAGGGCATCCACTGGATCATGGATCAAACCAACCAGGGGTCAAAGCTTCAAAGAAAACTGAGCCTCCAGCCCTCAGCTGCCATCTTTGGCCAATAGCTTCTTGGCTAAGTGTGGCCTTGTGAGCCCCCTCCCTCTGCCTGGGCTGGAGTTCTGACCCGCTTGCTCTGGTGGAAGCAAGTAGTCAGGTACTACGAGTTCGTGGGTGCAGAGTTCTGTCATTTTCAGAATACGCTTTTTCCAAGCAGCCCCCTGACCTGGCTCTAAGCACTCTTACCAACCCCCTCCTGGATGCTCCCCAAGACTTGGGGAGTAGGGGTGTGGTAAAGACGCCTTCTTTCTGGATGATGTGCATCTGTGTGTCTGTGAGCCACAGCAAACAGAAGCTTCGTTGATGAGGCTGGACTAATCTATGGGTATAAGGTCACATGTTTAAAAGACAACTGGCTGCAACGGTGGCTTTTTTATGTCATTTTACTTTTGGTGTGTGGTGCTGGAGCTGAAATGCAGGGCCTCGGACAGGCGCTCTGCCTGAGCGACACACCAGCCCCTAGTGTCAAATGAGTCACAAATGGTTGTTTGCTGTGCTGATGGAAAACTTGAGTGTGTGGGAGGCTTAGGACCCAGCACGAGGTTTTGTATTTATACCCCCTAGCCCTTAGGGCCTGACATGGCAGGCTGTGGATGCCTTCGCCATTCTGAGCTGTCAGTCTGATAATTCTTTTCACCTGTGAAAACAGTGCACTCTGAGGACAGCTCTTTGCTTACTTGCTCCGGTGGCAGGGATTATCTCTGAGTGTGGCTTTCCTCTGGGGTTTGATTCTGAGTGTCATTACGGATTTGGGTTAGAGCATCAAGGTCTGGCCAAACCTCCCTCGTGTGGCTGAGCCAAGCAGTGAGTCTGGTCTGTGTGGGAAGGTATCTTTTAGTCCTTAGCCACATTTGAGGATTGTGGTGGAGGGGCCGGAGGCCTGTGAGCTGTCCCAGGCGAAGCCCTGCAGGGGCACATGGCAAGGCTGCTGGGCCGGGGAGGGGACACATTATTGGAGGCTTGGCTACTCTCAGCCCAGCAAGATATCCCTACTGAGGCAATCATACATCTTCCAGGCTTAACCTGGGAAGAGATACTTTTTCAAAGGGACAATGTATTTGTGTGTGTGTGTGTGTGTGTGTGTGTGTGTGTGTGTGTGTGTGTGT